TTACACTGAAAGATAGTGTACTGAAAGTTGGACCTGGTCATCCTGTAACTTTAATAGGTGTTTCAGATTTCTTGATTGTGTTTTTTTAATTTCTTGGAGATAGTCCCATGAATTAGAGTTACTGTAAAAGTCAGTTTTTTTTTTGGTAAATTGTCTTTTTCCTTCTTGGTTCCTCTGTTGTTGTTTTTTGTGTCTGATATTAATTTGTTTTTGTCATAGCCTGAACATTTGTTCTCTCTGAAAAGATTAGATATTCATTGTACAAAAGGAGTGATTTTTAGCCCAGAGCATGTAGTGTTTTCACCACTGCAATAATTAGTTTTAATTCTCCAGTAATTGTACTTTTGTTCTCTCTGAAAATATTAGATATTCATTGTACAAAAGGAGTGATTTTTAGCCCAGAGCATGTAATGTTTTCACCACTGCAATAATTAGTTTTAATTCTCCAGTAATTGTACTTTTCGTGGATGGGAATTGAAGTGAAGAAAAATAGGTTTCTTAATCAGTTTATGAAACAAGGTATATATATATTATTGTAATTATAGATCACTAAGATAACGTCAACAAAATCTATACTCATGTTTTCACTTGAATGTTCAAGGGTGAATTGGTTGATTGGTGTCTGTGGAATTTAGAAAGTAGAAACTTGATTCAAAAAATTAAGGTCATGTTTCCACAGTGGAAACAGTCATCAATGCATCTAAGCCAGAGATTGGGTCTAGTGTTGGTATCTTTGCACTACTTGTCAAGAGCACCTATTTCAAAAGCCTTTATAAAGAATACAGCTACTTAACTGTGTAGTGTGATACCGCTTAATTGGAGATCAAAACGTATCTTGCTTACTGGTATCAGAAGGGTGTTTTTATTTTATGATCTTTTGCATAAGTAATTGAAGTAATTTAATTGATAAAATTAGTCATTAATTTTATATTGTCTGTTTCAATGTGGATTGTAGAGAGTTGATCAATGATATTCTACTGTATATTAAAATTGCTCTCTCTGTGTTTGTACGAAAAGAAAATTTAGTTGTTTCTCTATTTTCACAGAAATTTTTCCATCAAACTGAATAAAAAGTTTGTTCAAGGAAGATAATGTGTTCGAACACACAAATTTGGTCAGAAAGTTAAGTTTTTACTGCAAAAACCAGGTGCTTTAGCATGCAGGTTCAAAGAGGAAGTAGAGATTGTGAAGTCATTTTCTACTATTATTTTTTGTACTATTGATATATTTTTTTGGTTGTTATTAACATTAATGATGAAAGTTTAATTTGTTGTTTTGTTCATCGTATATCTATACCTCTCCATTTCTTATCAAAATTCATTAGATAAAAGTGAAACAGGTATTGGACTCTGATTAACAGAAAAACCTTTTCTATGAAGTTCATATGAGAAACTGATAGCCATTTCTCAGACAGTTTCAAGGAACATAAAAATAGCAGAGTCACTTTAAACTTGTTCGTACCTTTTTATTTTTAGGAAGAACAGCTCAGTTGATCTTTAGCTAATGTTTAAGACAGCATCTGTATAATCAGATGTAATATACATAAATATTTCAATAAATCACCAAAGCAAGCTAACGGTCCTGATGAAGATGTGCAGATGTCTGTCATTGTAGATACATTACTTATTTTTTATTGAAAAATATTGTTGCTGTTTTAAATCATTCAGAATGAAGCACTACTGAAATAAAATGTTACACAGTTCTAAGAGTATAATACCCATAAATCCAGATAGGCCATTGATATTTGTGAGTTAATTGTACAATTGTTATGTGTTAAGAATTAACATATATTGAATTTTACTAGTCAATAAAGATTACTTAATTTTTTTAATAATTTAATGTACTTGAAAACTTAGTATGAAAACACTAAAGTATAATAAAATTAGAATTAACAACTATTGGTGAATAGATTTTTTATTAAATATTTTAAAATCATGATAGTAACATTTAGTTATTAAAACTTACATTAAACTCTGGTTGTTCATCCATGTTCAACCAAATGAAATCCTTAGTGCTTCTAAAGAATTTAAATTTACTAATCATGTTTTAATTTCAATTGATATAAAAACAAAACAGGTCTAAGTTCCAAAGTTTAAAACCAAAAATGGAGTGATTTTAATAAGATGAAAAGTATCACTGTTATGATTTTTTAGTAAGTTAAAAAAAAATGTTTTATCTCTGAAAAAAGGCCATTTCAGAAATTGTTTATGATAATTTATGTGTCACTCGAGAGAATTTGGATGAGGTTTTAGGTAGTACTGTTGTGTGGCTCTTTTATTTTTATTATCCTAAAACACCTTGGTTGTGTATTAAGTTTATCATGAAATGTATTACTTATATATATGTGTGCACAGACAACATATGTGATGAACTATTTCAAAAACTGATTCCAACCATTTCATTGGAAATTTATAACTATAAACTATTGTGGTAGTAATTACATTACAAAGACATTTACCAATCACATACAAGGAGACAACTGAAAGATTTAGTTCTATTTATATATAAATTATACAAGTGATTTGTTTCTCCATTAGTAAAAGAAGTAAAAGCTCAGCACATAATTTCTTTTATCCCAGTAAAGCTGTGTTACTGAATTGCATCTCTTACAGTGAAATAGGTCAGAGCATTAAAAAAAAAGTGTCATAAATAGGACATTATACAGCATAATTATACATTTTGACTTCCTTTAACACTTAACGATACAATCAAGGTCTTCCAGCAGTCTTTATCAGAATTATTAGGAGCTAAAAATCAAAGTTGTGTACTATTGTTGTCATTCTTTCTCTTGGTCAGAGAAAAGATAAAAACAGAATCTAAGTTGTGATAAGGTACATGAAACTGGCAGAGACTAGGAGATATGATGTGTTTGCAAGCTATAAGGATGTATTGTTCTTCTGAACATTACATACATGAAAAGGACAATACAAACCTACTTTAACTTAACAATTTATTTTGGCATTTGAAGAAACAATTTTAACTTTACCTTAGACTGTTCATTTCAAGAATATTTCTGTTACTTTTCTGAAATCCTGAGTCAGGTTTCTCACATTATTTTTCAATGAAACAAGCACATTAGTAAATGATCGTAGAAGTTCATTTAAGCATGATAAGTACTATCCTTAAACAGAAGAATTGCAAGTAGTGAACTATAGAATATTGTGATCAATATTTAAGTGTTTTAAATACATATATTCCTCATTATATTTTTTTACAATTCTTGCAAGTATACAAGAATATTCAAAAGAAGTAATTTTTATTGATATTGGATATACATACAGAGTGGCCTAAAAGTAGGCATACAGTTGCATATATGTTGAATCTATTGAATTGTGTAATGTATGAAATCGAGGAAATGAAATGCATTAACAGAACTTGATGGACAGACAGATTTGTGTCAGAAAGTTTGCAGAAGTGTGGCAGGCAGACTCCAGGATTGTGTGAACAGCATTGGGTTTCAGTTTGAACTTCTGTGAGATTAATGAGGGATTAACTTTCCCATAATTCCACATCATGTGTAAAATTCCATTAAAGAATTATCAACTGTATACCTACTTTTGGGCCACCCTGTATATCAAAGTGATAAAGAACATCAAAAACCAAATGAAGTATATACTGATTCTGTATGTCCAGGTTAATCTTTATGTGTTGATAAATACACACACAAATATCACAGGTTTGAAATGAAGAAATATTATATAGATATATAGTAGGTTTATATTCTCTTTTTATCAATTAAAAAATCTAAATGTGAGACACTGGTAAGATATCTTGAAAATTGTCACAAAACTACTAAAAATATCTATAAGAATTTCAAATTGAAATCTGTACGTGCATTTTTTCTTAATAATTTGGCTATTATTAAGCAGTGACTAAGGTTATTAAAAAGTATTAAGATATTGTGTATTGATTTTAATGTGTTATAAACATTGTTTTAAAATATTAACTGTCAACATAATTTATAATTGTTACAATCCAATCAAACCACTAGTTTGGGTTGTTCAGTAGTTATTTTTTTGTTAAGTGTTAGTTTAATAATTTCAGAAAAATAAAGGAAGAAAAGTTGACAGGCAAGATTATTTTTGAAAAAAATGCCTCTTGATTTAGGCTCAAAAGCTTCAAATGACTCAAGCTTTAAGAAGCTTAAAATCTAACATTGGATTTATTATTAATAAAAACAACTAATGAAAGGACTGCTATTAGTTTTGTTCAGGCTAAGGTTATAAATAAATATAATTCAAACATTTCAATAAAAGACTGTACATCGTGAAATACATACCGAAAGTAGTTTCACAGAAACAAGAATATTGCATATGGAATGAAAAAAAGGCAAACGTGTTCCAAACTATTAATTAAGGTTAACAAATTAAAACTCCTTTTTGTTATTAAAGCTTAAGTAGGGTTCTTGTAATAAGATCTTACATTCACATACCTGCTCAGTTTCAAATGAAGCTAAAGGCATGGAAATTTATGTATTGCATATATATAAATTACTATTAAAATTTGATTGTAGAAATACAATTAATGTGAACCATATATTGACTATAAGGATAATAGATGTTTGTTAACTCATCTTTCTGTAAATACATTTAGGAATGCAATTTTATATTTATCACCAGTTTTCTCTTGATAAGAATTTACTGTATATGTGTTACTTGACAAGTCATTTCAGCTGTAACAGTAGTCTAAGGATGACACTGCCATAAAAAAAAATTATAACTGGCAAATTAAACTGTTTTTTTTAAGACTTATGATTACTATTGGTTTATTTATGTTTGAGCCAACACATCAAATATCAGGAATATTTGAAATTTTTGGTAAGATTTTAACAAGTTTTCCTTTATTTTATTTTTGCACCACTAATATGTGTAAAATATATGTTGTTCATCATTATAAGTTCTTTAAATGATTCCTGTAATCACTAATATTTAATTTTATTACTTGTTTTTGTTTTATTTTCAAAATTATCATATTTTGGGCTTTGAAAAACATCTGGGCAGGGAGAGTTATCAAAGTTAGCAGAAGAGAAACGAAGGTTACAACAAAGGCTGGCTCGTGTCAATGACAAAAACCAGGTGACTCTTCATTTCTGTGTGGCCTGCCAATCAATGTTGTCCATTGCTCAGTATATGATGTGTAGTGGATAACCACACTTTTTATCCCATCCCTTTCCAGTTGTCATAAGTTTTGTTGTGTTGCAAAAGTCTTCATGATGGTGCATATTCATTATTCATCTCACAACAGGTTTTAGTGCTTCAAGTGAAATGTTCATTGTTTAATAGGATTTGTCTTTTCGTAATTAGTATCATTGTTATCAGTTTGTAATCATATATGGCAAAGTTAATTTCTTGTTAATTGTTATGAATGTTAAAGAATAACTTCCATTTTTGTTTATGTCTATACCAGCAGTACAAGTCAACATTATCAACATCTTTTGTAGCCATAATTACTTTTGGAATGATATTGGTAGTGTTGACATACCATTTAATAGTCACCTCACTCATGTTTATTGAGAGAGGTTTTTTCCTGGTGTATGAGTTTCTAATGTATTTTTGGATTGTAGCTAAATTGTTGATTTCAACTAAGTGTACCTTTTTTTTTTGTTAGAACAAAAATTTTCATGCAAAGCAATCTTTTGGAGTTCAGGTTATCTTATTGCTTAGTTATCAAAACCTGATGCATATACATTTTCTCCAAAGTTGATAAACCTTAAATAGTCTGTTGGTTGATCATAGTCAAGGCTTTTTCACAAATGTGTATTATATAATTTGTCTACAGATATTAAATATGTAGATTGATTGATGTTTTTGTATTTTCAATACATTGAGTATTGGCTATCTACCATTTGTGCTGCTTTTAAACATATAGTAATCTTAGGCTTAATCAGAATTAATGGGAAAGATAAAAATATCTTGAATGCATGCTTAAATAGATCAATGTACAAAAGTTCACTGGAGCTGCATTGTAAACTAGACAGATACAGTATGTGATAATATAGGATTACATGCAATAATTCCAGTTTCTTTGTCATATTTCTCATGCAAATAGCCATTGATTTTGAAATGTGGCTGTAATCTTTTGAAGTTTGAAATTTTGAGTCTTCATCAACTTCAAATCATTGTTCATTTTTGTTCATGATATCAGTAGATATGCCCAGCATCACAGTGGCTCTTGAGTCACAGGGTTCTCTTTAACCCTTTCAGCATGGGTAGATGTGATTACTATCTTCTCAACTAGGAAAGTACATTTATGTGCCAAAAAAATACAGTAACTATGTGTGTTCCTCACAAAAAACTGGTAGGATTTTGTTAAAGTTTATAAGTATCTTGTACACAAACAACAAAGAATGACATTATTTTAATGACATCTTTCCAATATTTTTTTTTTATCATTGGTAGTTATTTGCACTCAAACTGTGAATCATTTGAGTGCAAGGTGATTTTCATTTTAAGTATAAAATACTTTCCTTTATCTTATAGTTTTCATATTTTATTGGCATAACCTCTAGAACTTTCTAAATGGATATCAAAAGTTTTTAAGGTAAATGTTTATAGTTTTATTTTTCTATACCATAGCTATTATCATCAATGTACAATGCAAACAAATGATTAAAACTAGGAAATAGAAAAAAGTACATACATTTTAATTTTTTGTAGAATATCTTTAAAGATTTTTTCCTTTTGTTCAGTTTGTAATTTCAGGTCTTTTTTCCTTTACCACTTATTATTCATCTTAACACAAATCAACGGTGCCCTTGAGGCATATTACAGTGTTTTTGAGAGACATGCACAACCCTTTGGTACAATTTTTGTTCAGTGCGTAATATTGAAAGCCTTGAAAATGGGTGCAAAATATGATGTATATTTAAACAATGTTTAAACCTTCTAATTATGCATTTTAAACATAATTAACTAAAATATAATAGTAAGACTTAAATATATCATTAATTATAACATATTCAGGTAAGAAACAACCGTAAGTGCTATAGTCGATCAAGCAGCCAACAATACTACAGTCAGTTTGATGTGCACCGAGATGACAACTGGGTGGCAATTTAAAAAAAAAGTTATTAGATTATAGTTTAAAATGAGCTCTTTCTAGCGACTATACACATAGGTATGTAACATCTACATTTAGGCTATAATACTTAAACAAATCTGTTGAAGGTGAGCATGGCACCTGTTAGGGGTTAAAAATATTTATTACTTGTTTTAACTGTATTCATTCAGAGAATTTTTCAAATGTGCTAGTCAAAAGGTTATATAAGCATCTTATTGTCTAGACATACCTCTTCTCAACTATCATTGTATTATTGAAGATACAGAGAGCCAAAGTAGAGAATTTTCATAGCCTGTTGGTAACATGACAATACATATGAAGTTTTAAGTAGTTTTAAAGGTTTATTTTGAAATAAAAGACTTAAAACTTAGATAAAATAAAACTTTGAATCATAACATACATTATAATATTAATTTCATTCACACAGATAGTAACACAGTGACTAGCACAGAAAAGCATTTAAAGGGTTGCAAAAGGGTTAAATAACCATAGCCTTCACTATGTGAATGAAGGCTTTGATCATGATTTGTTTCTCAAAACTCTTTTCCTGTCCTAAATGCTGTGCTGTGTGAGTATCCCACTTTTACCAAAAAGATTGAATGTTCCCTGCTTTGAATGTTGTGTCCTTTGGCTATACATCATTTAAGAAATAGCCTTCTGTATATAGTTATCTATGTGTAGAGATAGCTTTTTTTTGTTTAATAACTGTAACCAGTATTGAAGTTGGACTTGACTTTCCGAAAACTTGGAAACTGTATTCAACCATAGTTGTTGCATATTTAACAAATTGAAGACTATATTTGACTATGCAATAAACTTTTTATTAGCAGTGAACTTTTGCTTTGGAAAGCTTTGCATAAGAACAGAATGAAGAGCAGCTATATTACAAATTGTTACTTGTAAATGGTGTGACTTTAGTTTAAAATATATAGTTTGTTTGGCATAACTATATGATTTTTTGTATTACTAAAAATACATTATCAGAGGAGATATATTGTTGCAAGAAAGTCAGGCCTTTTCATTGGTGTTTATAGTGTGATTATAGATTAAGGATTTTTCTTTAACTTGAATTTTTATAATGACAAAAATGTTTCAGCAACAGAAAAAGGGTAAGTAGTACATAATCTAAATGTTTCTAGACTTTTACAAGAATGTTTAATAGAATTGATAATATTTTTGTTTCAGAATCAAGCATAATAGATAATTTTGGTTATGTGTTGAGGTTATGAACCATTCAGACTACAGCAGGATGGATATTTACATTCTGTGGCAAGGTTGAAAAGATGAGTGTCTAGACCTTACAGCCCCTTTCTCCACCACTGATGATGTTCTGTGCTTTCACCCTGGTTATGAACTATTGCAGAAACCTTTTCACTATACACTTTTTGCACACATACCCTTCTTTACATGCTATCAGTTGTGCAAATATGACAAGTTCTAAGGAACTGTTTGAGCAGATTAAAGGACAAAATTCTGTTTGTATTTGCATCTTGATGAGGAACTAGCATTTGGACTAGGATGTATGACTGCATGCTGTGTCTGTTGAATGGAGCCTTATCTTATTAGTCTCCAGTACATTCATACACAAGTATACGAAAAAAAAAATATTGCTAAATAAAAAAAGCTATGTAGGGCTGGCTACTGAACTTGAAAAAAGGACCAAACAAGATAGGGATGGAAGTGGACATATTACTTGATCGGCTAATGATCACATAGCAGACTAAGCCACCTTAACTTTACATAGAGAATAAAATCTGTATGTTAATGGCTTTCCTGTTTTGTGTATCGAAAGCTTGGTGTTTGAATAGAATCTCAGGTTTCATCATTATACCTTTCCCTTAGTTAACTTTAGAATACTAATTTTATGACTGTTTTACAGTAGAGTAACATTTTACGATTGGAAATTCTGGCTCTTTTGGTTTTGCCAATGAAGAAACCAGTAATGTAAGGATTTTATTCCCCATGTAAAGTCAAGATGGCATAGGCTGTTATGTGATCATTAATGGGATCAAGTGATATGGCCACTTTCATCCCTGTCATGTTTGGTTCCCTTTTTTTTCAAGTTCAGTAGCTAGCTTAACATAACTTTTTTATTTAGTAATAATTTTTTTTCCTATTACTTCCTTGTTTACTATTTTTAGTCAGATCGCATATACACTTCATACATAATATAGGACTTAGCTCCCTAAAGACACCTGTTGTATAGTGTACAAAGCATTGAGTATTCTACATGTTACTGTCATCTAATGTTCATTTATTATTGGCTGGTAACTCCTGTACTTAAGTTTTTTATAAAGGAACAACATATTTCTGTAAGAAAGCTAACTTCAAGGGGTAATAATGTTATTTACACTACAATCATAATTTTTTCTTCTCTTTTGTTGAATTTTACACATAATGATGATAAAATTATAGTTACTGCTGGAACTAGATAGACACTAGATCTGTTAAGAAAGATGATGATGAACGAAAATGAGAAATCTTGGTTTTGGCTGTTTCCTGGTCTGAGTTTGGTATGCTCTGGATAGCTGAAAAGTGGCATATACACTGGAAATAGAGTGACTATGCAAGGTAGCTCTTTGTATCCAGTTTGTGATGACCTGTAGAGAAAAATATCCACATGACTTTTGTATTGCTTTAATACAAGCATTTGTGCCATCTGTACATAGAAAATGCTAGTGCACTCTCCGATTATATTTCCTCAAGGTATAGTGGTGTCAGCACATTTGTCTGATAGTACACTGAAATTCCCGTAGCTTTTTTCTCAACTTTCTGGCTGTTTAGCTTACCATTATAGCTATAGCTGGCAACTATCATAAAATCTATTGAACATGCTCTGTACCATTCTTGAAATATTTTATCAACAGCAGGAGAATAATAATTGTCTGGAATTTGTTGCAGACACTTAACTAATTGTATGCTTTGTTCAATATAACAACATATTTTCATTTGCCACATGGTCGTCACATTGTACTGCTATTACAACTTCTGACAATTAGTTTCCAGTTCAGTTGTGTTCTTTGACAGAAATCTGTGAACACAATTCTTGTGACACTTTTGTAAACCAATATGTGTGTGAACTATCTTGCTTATTACATTTCCAAGGAAAGTTTCTACATTAGTTGAAATGAACATGTGGGGTCTATGGTTACTACCAGTGACATATTGTTTAACCTTTTTCACTGCCTCCAGCATATGACTTGTAAATGACTATGGAGTAGCCTGTTGTTTCCCTGCTGGAATAATGCCTTCCCTTTCTTTAAAACACTAGAATTTAATGGCTTGTATGCTTTTATAATTGCAGAATAAATGAAGTTGCTTCAAACTTAAGAAGTTATGTAATGTATTTAACCCTCCCAGAAACATAAGTTTTAAGCAGAACCACGTACACTTGAAAACTATCACTTCAATTGAATTGCAACACACCTTAACCTTTAATTTGTTTCACCACAAATCATGAGGATGGCAAGGGACAAGGTGATTAGATATGCATTTTGTTATTGTATATAAACAACCCTATGTATATTCTTGTTGCACATATATTTGTTTAAAAGTAGTGACTAGTTTTGATTTTGCATATCTGTTATATTTTAAATGTAGCCAAACAAAATATTTGGGTTGGTAACACAAAATCAACAACTTAAAAATTAGGATATTCAAATTTCAGAAGCTAGAAGATGAAAAATCAAGAATACAAAAGGAAAAACAGAAAATTCAAGAAGAATTAGATTCTACAAAGAAAGAACAGGAAGACCTTCTTATACTCCTTACTGAGCAGGATAACAAGCTAACAACCTACAAGAAAAAACTTAGAGAGCTTGGGGAAAAGGTTAGTTTGAAGCAGGTTATACATGTTACTTTTTTGTATACCAGGCAATTTACTTAAAATATTTATTTTGGTACTCTGTATTCTTTATGTTATTTATCTGTAATGTTATTTATTACTGCTGCACTGCTGAAATTTTCTTTTTATGCTAATTTCATATGTAGTCTTAAAATTTGAAGAATTTTTAAATTTCATTAATTAGTATTCCATTGGTTTTGATATTACAGTATGATTATAGAGAGGCATAACCTAGAGGTGCACTGAAATCTGAGGTTGCCCTGGTAGACAATACCAGATGCAGGAAGACCAGGTGCTGATGATGTTTAGTTTTTTGTAAAAGTCCAGAAGTGACAACATGTGTATATGTACCTACATATCAATAGCTAGCTACAGTTATTGTACAAAAAGAAATATAAAACATAGCTAATTAAGGCTTTCCAAAATAGAGCATTCTCCTGGTGTTGAATGATACAAACTCTTTGGCAACTGCAGCTAGATCTAATGTATCAGTTTTAGATTTATGCACATATAACATAAATTGGTTATTAAGCTTACGAGCAGTCATAGTGTTCTGTAAAAAGGTTTTAATTCTTCACAAGCTTGGAAATGACCTTTCTGCTGTTGCAGTAGTAACAAGAAATGTGCAATATAGTATAAGTACTTTGTCAACTTCACTCAGCATTCCTTGATAAATTTCAGATTGAACCACAGCATCAGCAATAGTTCTAACATTTGTAGCCCTTTTAATGCTACCCACAAAAGCTGTCTTAATAATATTGGGCAACATACATAGCAGGACCTTTAGGTGATCTACTTCAATATCATTCCCTAGAAAACTCAAAACAACTTCTGCAGTAGTATTAGCTGGAGCTCCATTAGCAGCATTCAATAAGAGAATTTCAATTTCCTGAATTATATGAAGATCTAGCTATTCAAATCTCCTTTTCATTTCTTCAGATACTAGATCCATTGCTACATAATATGCATGATGATGCATGTCTTTGGCACATGAGTATTTATATGGAGATAATCAGTGGTCTAGTCTTCTTGATAACTTTCGATTTCTCTTAAGTTTTGGCTCTTCAGTTAATGACAATGACCTTTCAACTGTACAGTCATAAAAGTTATTAAACATAACCTCAGTCCTCGGTAATTTTAGATTTGATACATGAAGGCCCGGCACCTGTCATTGCTTCTTGAACTGTGATATCTATTGTTTATACATTAGTGAAAAATTGCTCTGCAGGACCAAATATGCGATGGACAAGTTGTAGTCCAAAAAAATGTGTGGAACTGTTCCATTCAGTTGAACAATCCACTTGTTTTGTAGCATATTCATCATGTACTTTCTAAATTTTTGCTAATGCAGTTAGCGAAATTTTGTAATTCATCATCATTATGCTTGAAATGGAAATGTCTCGCCACCCATTGTGTTGGACAGAGGACCCTTAATGGTGGTGTTGTAGATGATTCTCCACTATCAACCTCCCTTCTCAAGTTTTCAAAAAGAGTCAGTCTTTTAGGTCAGAATTTTTATAAGTTGAATCGAGTCAAATATAAAATCTATTGTATTTTGCACTAGATTACATTTCTTTGAAACATCCTATACATATAAGTTTAAGCTATGTGCAAGACAGCGTACAAACAAAGCCCTCCTCTTTTCTTGCTTAAAAATTGCCTGAACACTATTCCTCATGGCACTCATAGTAGATTCATCATAAGCCTGGCCCCAACACTGAGAAATAGGTAGTGAACATCTTTAATTTCTTGATAAATTGTTACAGCTTTGGTGTCTGGTAGCTCAGTGAGACCAGGTGTATATTTGTGCACCAGGTACTTTCTGTCAACCCACTGAATTGACAGGAATTAATAGAACCACATAGCATTCTTAGTTTCAGCTAAGATCTGTGTAAGTACAGTAAGGCCCATTGTTTTGATATTTACATTAATGATATCTGGAGAAATGTTATTTTATTAAAGGACAGCCTTGTGCTTGCAATAGTAATAACTGATATAAACTACCTTCAAAGGTCTCAACACTTTCATCATACCCTCTCAGCAGTAGACCTTGTTGTCCCTAAATCTAATGCATGCTATTTGTTTCATCACCATGCTTTCATGAAAGTTTTGTTTCGTGGCAACTTGATTATTTAACTGAGCACCAACATGTACACATGAGGCCTTTGCTGTATGTTTGTCTGTAGTTACCTGTGGAATGTCACTTTTCTTGTGCACCTGAAATCTTTGAAGTGTTTTCCTCCAGTTTCTAAATCCGTTGTTGACATACGATGATTTACTAAGCACTGAAGGTGCTAGCAAGTCTTGTTGTTTAGTGCTACAATATAGTCTACAAAACATTTTATAGTGAGATGAACTGATGGTGATCCAAGGATGCTTTTCGTACAATGAATGTTGTATTTTTTTGGAATAAGACTTTAAATGGCTTTGTTGTTTTTAGCTGCAGCATTGCAGCTCATGAAATAGTTCTGAGTTGTTGTGTTTTTAAAGTACAAACTTTTAGCTCATAGCTCCATCATCTCTTGACCAATTTGAAATATAATTACAGTTTTGTACTCAGGAGGTCAAATCCTTTCAATTGATGTATTTAACCACACCCGTGGTCTCATAGATTAATTTACTATAATCTTGCCTAAAAGCATTTCAATTTGAGGGTAGGCTCGTATAGGTCCTGATGAGTAATAAAATCGAATTGGGTATACACGCACCCCATGCTTGGTGAACAAAGATATAGCAAATATAAAGGGAAAAAAAAGGTTTCATAGATTAATTTACTATAATCCTACCTAAAAGAATTTCAAATGCCTGGACTTTTGAGGATTCCCTCTTGTTCTTTAGTATGATGTGAATGAATTGTTTTAGACCCAGAAACTTCCAAAGGCAGATTAGATCTACTTAAGTCACTACAGCCCTTGCAATTACAAGATGTTTGAGTACAAACAGCCATTACAGTATCACTAGCTATATTAGACATACCTTCTGTTTCTTCTTCAATGTCAGTGTTTGGCTGTGCTACTACTAGTACTGTTTGGATAATGCTGATTTCCCTTAATAACTTCTTCATAATTTGCTTCATCACTTAAGTCAATAATATTAGGCTTACTAATGGATGCCTTCACAACAAAATCTCTAATTTTTGTTTGCATTCCAGCAAACATTGCCATTTTCTGCATGACATATGAACTTGTTTAAATCATGTGATCTTCATATATCGAAAGTGCCAGTTGGTAAGGTTAGTCTGGAAATTAGAATAAGTTTAAAGTATAAAGCATCCTTCATATTACTTGCTTTACTGAGTTTTGAAGCTTTATTATTGCTATTTTTTATAGATTTACAACAATCAAAATTTTTTATTCATACTGATGATGAGACTATGCATCCTGTACAGTATATCTTACTGATTTTCAAACTAAATTAATTAATCACTCCTGTGTTAACGTTGAGAAGATGAATAACACTATCATATTGATGTTGAAACATTCTGAACCACAGTTGTTACCTACTCTACAGTTGAAATTATGTCTAATATACTTTGACTCCCCTTGTGGGTCAGCAGTAGGTTTACAACTTACAATGCTAAAATCCAAGGTTCAAATTTCTTGTTATGGACAGAGTGTAGATAGTACACTGTGTAGCTTTGCACTAAGAAAACAATATATACATTGATTCTAATCATAAGCATTGTTTGACTGGTTTATAACATGTACTGTTTATCTGTTATTATCTGTAAACCATAGTTTATTAGTATACAAGACTGTAACATAGTTTTTCTTTCAGGTTGAAGATGATGATGAAGATGATTTAAATGAGGATGAAGGAAATGATGATGAAGATATTGATGAAGTTGAAGAGTAAGAGTAATCCAGACAAGGAACAGAAAATAATATATTGTTAAAGAAAAACTGGGTCATCTTGTCTGGTTAGCTAGTTAAAAAGCTAAACAAATGATCGAATAGTAATTATTTTTCTCTTTAATTTTCCTTGCTTTGGTTTATGCTTTGAAGTTGTCATTATTCACAAAAATATTTTATGCAAAGAAATTTTTCAGTAGTTTTGTTAAACAAAGAACCTTCTGGACGTGTAGAGTATAAAAAAAAAACAATTTTGTTAGCTCAGAATGTTGGAAGTTGAGATGTTATGCAGTTTAATGTACTCAGTAAAAACTTGTGCATGGTACATGTGTTTGTGCACTGAACGTATTGTTAAGAAACTCACAATTTTATTTGATATTAAAGAATTAAAGATAAACTCACCTTATCATTATTGATTCTTAACATTGTGATCCTTGAATGATTAAAATTATGAGTTGCTACCTGTATCGTGCAGTTTGATAATATATAGGTTTTTGTTCAGTCATAAATGAAAAATTTAAAATCTTGTTGTTTTTGGTTGTCAGTTTAAAAGGATTTGTTTCCTTCAGCGAACAAAGTCATTTTTCAATGGGGGGGTATATGTAAAGTCATACACAGATATTTTTTATCAAACTTAAATCTAGGACTCATTTTGTTTTCTAACTTTTGCTTGAGGAAGAAGCTTTTAGTTACTTGATAGTCTCCTCTTTAAAGGAAATGTGGAGGATGAATACCCAGTACCTATAGCTAAATATTGTGAAATGTAACAATGATAGATTAAAATACAATGTTTTTGTAACAGCTGACGATATTGTAGAAAATATTTCAGTAAGACAGCTTTCTATTCATTTTTTCTTAAATCGAGATTTATTTAAAAAATAAATGGCCTTAAGGAACTTTGTACTACAAATTAAAAAACTGAATGATTAGATGCTGTTATACAAAAACTAAATAATGGCAATTAATTTGTGATTATTTGTTTTGCACATTTATATAGCTTTATAAATACTTAAACATTTCCCTTGCAAAAAGTAAACATATTCTAACATTTCTTTGACCCTACTTTAAAAAAGAAAAAAAACATTATTTAGATTATTTTTCCCCTTGGCTGTTGTATGTATAAATTACATGCTTAGAAAATTAAATATTCATAAAATTACATCATTTGAGAATAAGTGTACATGTACTACAGAAGTTAATATTTATAAGCATGAACCATGTACTAGCTATAACTTTTTTATTTTATTTTTGCTAATAAGCTGAATTATCAATAAATTGTCACTTGTTTTTTAACTTCTGTTTTAGAGAAATCTGTGTACTGTGAAATTAGTTTTCTTTCTGACAAATGTACATTGGTTTGGTGGTGAGAAAATAAACAGAAATTTGTCCGTCTCAGAACACAACATTTGTTGGTTGTTTAAATAAGTTTAACATTAACATTGAGAGTGTGTGTGTATATACTGTTCTAATGTTTGAGACCAGTTGCTCTATATCTTTTAATTTCTACAGTATGTGTGATTTATATATGTATATATATATATATAAATATTTTATTTGTCTAGTATTATTTCATGTAAAAAAGTCTTCTCAGTTTTATTTCCTTGGCTCCCTTATGTATCAGTAAAATTCTGCTATTCACATTGAATTCAAAGAACTAGAAATCAGAAGAATACTGATGCATTTTTTAGTAGTTGTGATAATGTGTTCCAAAGTCCATGATCACTTCACAGTGATGTAAGATCATAGCTCATATTTGCTTAAGGTTTTGGAAGATGCATAAAATTATTTGTATCTGCTTAAACGTGTCAATCTGAAAATAACAAAATAGTGTCCATTGGTGCTCGTACAACCAACTTATATAATCTTGACATTTTCAGAGTCAAGATTGTGATAAATTTAGATTAGAAACTTTTGGGACCCCAATCAAGGATTTAGTTTTTATTACTCATTTTACATCTTTACTCTGATATTTTGTGTGTGAAAACCCCAAACTTGATGGTTCCTTCACAAGAAAAACACGATTTGGGTGAAACGTAATGTCTATTAAGGGTTATAGTAAAGTAATATTATGTAAGCTAAAATTCCCCCCCCACACACACAAATAAGTGAAAAGCAGCCCTACTATACATAGTTATCACACAAACAAAGGGGCAGGTGGAATAAAACAACCTTAAAATAATGTTCATGGCATTTTAACCTCTTCTGTGATTTGCCCAAAATAACTCGTTTGGGGGGGGGGGGGCTCTATGGTTAAAAAAATGTTTGCCCAGATAAATTCAGGCAAACACTTACTAGCCGTATTTTAATTATTTACCCAAATTTATTTGCACGTTATTATGTATTACAATAGGCTATCAAAAAGTGAAATAAAAATCTACCTTTTTTTTTAGTTCACTTCCAAAAAAAGCCCGACATAGAAGCGATTAATGTAGTTCTTTTCCTGCTATTAGAATCTCTCCAAGCTACAAACCTAACATTAAATTTATTTGATTAATACCAGCATTAGTATCATATTGGTCAAACTAATAAGTTAAAGAAACTCTTCTAAGATAGCTATTCAATGGTAGGATAAAATTTAAAAATTATCAAAAGTGTAAAGCTGAATTTAAATCCTCAAAGAGCTTTCTAATACATTTTTGGTGTAATAAAGCTACTTCTATTCTTTCTTTGTATTCTTGATAGATGGGTTACTGTCTTTTAAAAAGCTACTTTTTCAAGGCTTCATAAGGTAAGCTTATTGCTTTGGGTATTATTGAAGTTCTGTGTTGAAATCCAAAATCATGTATTAAACCTAATTCCAAGCTTCCATAACATTCTTTGGTTGCTTAATTTACAAATTCATCCTTGTGGTTTATTCTATTTCATCCAGGGGTTTGAGGAAACAAATGGTTTCTTTCTTGCACAGGTGCATGTAGATTATTTTAAATTAACATTGTTCTTGATGATCATACAGGCATTAATTCTTAAATTTGTATTTGACACATTAGTCTTTCTCTAATAATGCCAAAATTTACCACTAGGCTGCTTAAATGATTAATATGCTGATTACAGTTATTTAAATGCATGTTTTTGCACATTCCAGTCATTGTAAATGTTATTATTTAATGTAATTTTTACTTTAGTATGATATTGTTTTTACATGTTGTAATTTTTTTAATATCACAACTAGTGGATGCTAACAGTTGGTCAAAGTGATATTAACTGGTGTAGCCAATGTTGATGTAGTCCAAATTTCTCATCCTGAGTCTATGAATTAGTTGTAAATTGGACAAGATTAGTTACAAAGAATTATTTATCAGTACAAGTTTGTAGCCTATATATATATATATTGACATCCTCAGTTTAACATGAGTTCTACAGCTTTTTCTAATTGTGAAATATGCTTGTAAGAAACAAATATTTTAATTGACACAGCTGAGAAGGCATTACTGATATAATTAAGATATCTTTATAATCACTAATTACCTTAAAATTATTATTCTAATAAAAAAATTCTGTAGTGTTTGAAGTAAAAAGTAAATGAATTTTTTTCCTGGTTGCTCTTTAATAGTGGGTATATATAAACCATTGTTTAAACATTTACTTAATATATACTACATTAGAATGTTATAATACTATGTGCAGCACCACTTGTTTTACCATATTTTTCAACTTTGCTATAAAATTTATCCAAATTACAGAGAGTAAACAGAGCCACTTCTACCTCCTTAAGATTAGGAAAAAGTTGTGTCACTAAAGCTTATTGCCCAATTCTGATATGTACTATACACTGCTTTCATAGCATGTTGTTAAAATAATGTTTCATGTTATATTTAGATTTACAAATAATTAGATGGTGTACATCCTATGTGAAGTTAAACCTTATGTTTGGTTTACACCGAAAGTTTACTGGTGTGAACAATTGATGACTCAGATTATATAAATAGTAAAAGTGACATACGATAATATAAATTTTTTTTCTGAACTATTGGTACATCCACAGACAGTGTTAGTATGAATGAATGAATGTATGTTAAGAAATAGTATGATTATATTAAGTGTGAGGCCATTCATATCTGGAACTTAGTGTTGGGTTGGTCTCTTGATCAGTGTTACTGGACAGTGGTTGTACATTTGCATACACAACATAGGGGGTAACCACGTTACTCTACAGGAACCATCTAACATCAGTTTCCTAATTTTTTAATGCTCAGTATTGTGAGTGTTATTGAATATGAAAACAAACTGAAATTTTTTCCCAAGTGCAGCATTCACTCGAAAAGCTACTTGATATGAAATTTAGCATTAGTTGTAGTGCTACAAAGTTTGGAGAAAAGTTGTTACCCTAAATAATCATTTCAAGTTCTCAAGTTCAGTATTTTGTTATCCCAGTGCTATGCCACTCATTTAATTAAAACAAACCTTTATATATGTATGTATATATATATATAATTATTATCAAAGGATAAGAGCAAATCCTATAACCTGCAAGCAGACTGCCATTATCTACGTGTGGGTGATGCTGCTTCTATTGAGGATATATGTTTCCATATTTGTGGTCATTGAATGACTGACTAAAAGCATTTGAAATATCAAAGCAAAAATGTTATTTTGACTATTGTCATCCTTAGAGAAAAGTAAAAATTCATGCATGAATAATTTATAATATGAAGGCTGCAGTAGAAGTTCTACTAGTCACTGAAGGACGTCAGAAATGTTGACTGTTCATGGCCTATACTTCATGACTATCATATTACTGAATGAAATCAAACACTTGTAGGCTTCAACAAATACATATGATAGTCCTAAAATAATTTTTATAGATAGTCCTTATTTGGGACAAATTACTTAGATAAATCAAGGTTTTGTTTTCATTCATTGATTTGAGATGAAATATGCTACGAATTATCTATTAATGATTTCCTAATTTGAACTCTCTAATTTCATTAAAAAATAGTAAAAAGTGTTTAAAATTGCATCATGTTGTGAAAGCTAACTTTGTGTTGTTCTTTTTAATCCTGGATTATGTGTATGGACTTTAGTTTCTTTCACACATTGAAAGAAATCAAATGTCTTCACACAAGTCAAAATGTTAAATATACGAGAATAGTACATATACTTTAAGCATAAGAAGAAACAGCCAAAACTTAGATAGTTGTGTTGGTAAAAAGTGCAACCGATTATTTCAGAAATTCATTTTTAAAAATTCTATACTTGACCTTTGACATTTAAAGGTGAGTATTCTGTTTGTTACCCAATAAAGTTTGTAAAATGACTTAAGGGGACAAGTAATGAAATAATGCTCTTTATTTTAGGTGGAGAATTTATTTCAAGAGGTGTAATTCAAACTAGTTAACTTACATTTTGAGAGGGGAAAGGTTCTTATTTTTCATAAAATTTTAATTCTTTTGCTTTTTTTTTCACACAACCAATAAATTGGTGATATTTAAAAAGTTTTTGATTTAGAAACTGTTGTATAAATTATTGGCAAAAAAAGATATTAACTGTAGTATTGTATTAGTTATTGTATTCCTATAGGTATTTTTAACATTAGAGAGTTTTATGGAATAAATAGTTATTTTCTACTTATCAGTTGCATGAAAGATTTATTTGGAGGCAAACTTTTTGATCATTTATTCTTGTTTTCTCAAAACTTTATACTGTATTGCAGCTTTAACAAAAAAAAAAAGAAAATTTCTAAGCTTAGGTTGTTGTGTATTTATTCCATGATATTGAAATTTATGGTACATATTAGAACTTCTAATTTATTTTATAAGAAGACAATAAATATTTGTAGTGCACTTTTACCTTGCTGTATCTTTCTTACTCGTACTTTTCTTCTTTCATAATTATTTGTTTATCATACCACCTAACATTCTCACTTATTAAAAAAAGTTTAATTTAATCACTTGACAGGAATGAATCTTTATAAGAAGACAATAAATATTTGTAGTGCACTTTTACCTTGCTGTATCTTTCTTACTCATACTTTTCTTATTTCATAATTATTTGTTTATCATACCACCTAACATTCTCACTTATTAAAAAAAAGTTTAATTTAATCACTTGACAGGAATGAATCTTGACTTTGATTATGATACTTTAATAAGCTCGATGCTCCACCATTATAAACATGTTTTAAAGTGCTATTAGATTGTATTGCTTTTAATTTTTTTATCAGTATATTTGTATGTAGAATTTTCTACTCAAGATGACTCACAGGCAACTTCAGCATGCATGATATTCTGACTACAGTACCAGATTATAGATTAGTAATTGAAAAACTACATATCTAGAAGACATAACAGAAATAGTAATTTAAAATGAATCAATTTAGGATTCAAATAAAATTTTAAAAGGTGAATTAAAATTTAATCATTCTACTCCAGAGAAGAGAGCCAAAACAAAATTCAGCCTAAACACTTAAACCTCTTTTATGAGTGAGCATAAACCTCGAAAACTTGGAAAGGTGAAGGAATTTGAAAAAAGAGATACAAAAGTTACAGAAAATAGTGTCCCTCTCTTTTATCTCAGAACCTTAAGACTCAAACCATATTGCCTAACTTGACCAATTATTGTTATATTTTAAGATAACCTTGGTCAGTCACTGTCTGGTCTTTTATCCAATTCTTTATTCAATGATAGGCTAGATCAAAGATTATTTTATATATAAAAGTGCAACAATATTTTGGGTATCATCAAGTTATAGTACCCTTCTTACAAAATGTATTCTTTAGTACCACAGCCTGAAGTTTTCTTGCCCTTTATAGACAGGTTATATGTCCTACAGTCTGAAGGCTTATAATGCTAAAAATCTGGTTTTGATACCTGTGGTGAACACAGAACAGATAGCTCATTGTGTGATTTTGTGCTGAACAACAAAAGATCACAAGCTAAAATAATATTTTGGATAGAGTTATGAGGAAGTGTTGAAACATAAACTCAAATTTCTAGATTAGCTTTTAAGAATTTTATAACGTTCTTTTCATTAACAGATTACGCTGTTTGATACAGTCTTTTTTTTTTTCTCAACTAGTTTTTCTATAAATTACTGAAATATAGTCTCTACTAACTTGCTTTTTCTATCAGAATTTACATTCAATTTGTATTTTTGGTATTTGGACATATGATTGGCATTTGTCCCATCCCATATGTAAAAACAACCCCCCCAAGTATGATGTGTAAAGTGTCTCCAAGACTTAATCAGTGCCTGTAGTGGTTTGTGACCACTCTTTCCAATATTCACATAATTATATAAAACAAAAGGACACAACATTAGAAAAAAAGGAGTCTTGTCTTTTCCATGAAAGTTGTAAAAACTCATGTAGTAGATCATTTAGGGAAGGCAACAATAAACTGTGAAACCACATCTCAAGCCAGTAAACACCAAAGTCCTCATTCATATGGTTAAAAGTTGTGGTTATGAAAGAGAATCCTCTGACCCAAAATACCATTGCAATGAAAATGGGCATATTTCCTGGAATTATGAATAAGATCATAAATAAAGATTTGAAGCTGACAAACAAAAAGTTAAAGGTTTTGAAATACATCTTAAAATCAACTTTTTTTTCCAAAAAACATGGCTAAAGAAACTGAAACCAAAACAAGCTATTCAACTACGAACCTAAATCCCTTGATGAAACTCCATTAGGTATGCATGAGTCTGAACTTTGAAAGATGCACAAGTGGAGTGAAACAAATTTGACATGGCTGTTCTCTGAAGAAGCCTGACCATATGGAAACATCATTAAGGGTCATAGAAAGAGAATGTTTTACAAGGAAAATATGGTATTCGCCACTAATATGACAATATCAATTGTTTAATGAAAAAAAGTGTATGTGACTGTCTATAAACCCATAAAGAATTTAATTAACTATTTTCTTCGGTTCTTATTATAAATTACTAGCAAAGGTCCTCACACCATGCATGTCATTTATTTTATTGACTTCATGAGAATGGTGGTATTGTGTGTATGTGCATCATTTGCCATGCAGTCCAACCAAATACTGGTATAGAATTTTCTAGAAATTTTTTCCTACTAGCATATAGTATAATTATTTTCAGTATATTATCTGTCTTGTACTTCTAGCTGTTCTAAAGATCTAGGCCTTATTATATAATATCCTGTAGATTTCAAAAGTTACCTTCCTGTTACCAAGATATCAAACATTATATGTGGCAGGCATGATTTATGTATTCTGTGCCTTTGGATTTAAACAATACATCTTATGAGGAAGAAAAATAACCTAACAAGCAATTGTTAATTAACTATTAAAAGGTGCTGTACCAAAATGTCCCCCATGTTAGAAAAAACTTTGATCTAACTCAAAAACAATGTGTATATATTAACAAGACTACAATTAAGCCTGTAAGCAATTAAGAAAAATACAATTTTGTAGTTTTATTAAAAATATTTTTACATATATTACTGTGACACTGATAACAGAACTTTCATTGTAAGTTATGAAAATTAGAATGTCTATATTTGAGAACTTTTAACACTATTGTGAAAAGAATCTTGCACATACTTAAACTTCTTGGGTCCAACTTGTTAAGAATGCTGACAAGTCCAAGATTTTTTGTCTTTCTGATCTATTTCATTTCATAGTTCAAGAACATTGATGAAGTGAGAAGTAAAATTATTACACAACTGTACCCAAAAATTATTTGTATATGACATAAAATCTCAAAGCTCATCTGTTGGTTGAACTAACCATACAAATACGTTTTGTAGCTCTTCTCATTCCATAGTTTTCATCTGTTAGTTGTAAAATATTTTCATAGTTTTCTGTTTCCACTTCCCCACATTCTGCGTTTTAGTTCTTTGGTCACTTGATATTTTAAACCTAAGTTATATCATTTTCCAATTAACAGTGTAAAAACTGTTGGCAAAGGTTCATTTTCACTCTTCCATAACCTTTAACCACATTGTTTTTTTAATTCACATTTCAGTCCAAATAACTATGCATGAAAATCTGAAGAAGTACCTTAAAATGGTTATAGAAGAAAAAAGAATCAAGTGATCAAAATTCGAACGACTTTCAGTCAGACAGACGAGGATCATTTGGCAGAATCGTTGATTACATAGTTTTCTATTACTTGCATCCACTTTTGAACATATTATTTATGTTTTCTGATTTTATCGCACTGTAGCTGCATTGGTTTATTCATGTTAAATAATTATATAACTTGCATAGCTTTTATTTTATTTATACCAATGTAAAATTATCGTTATTAAACTTTCTCCCCAGAACTTTGATAAAGATTATAATACGCATGTTCTGGAAAGTGCTCGAGGTCCACGTAACCTGTTTGTAGCTCTAGTAGTCGTCCAAGTTCCGATCGTAGATCTAAAAATGAGGGCCGATTATTGACATCTGCCCTCCAACAGTCCTTCATGATTCTATATAGCTCTTCTCTACAATGCTCTGGCTGTTCCATAGTATAACCTTCTCTCACTTTCTGTATCACTTGTCGAGCCCCCAGGCCAGGATATGGAGTGGAACCTATTCCAAAGTCGAAACATTTTTGTACTGAGAAATACAGTGCAACTACTAGCACATGATAAAACATGGAAATCAGACTGTAAATTAAAAAATATATACAAAAAGAGTTTGTTTGTTTGTTTTGAATTTCGCGCAAAGCTACACGAGGGCTATCTGCGCTAGCCGTCCCTAATTTAGCAGTGCAAGACTAGAGGGAAGGCAGCTAGTCATCACCACCCACCGCCAACTCTTGGGCTACTCTTTTACCAACGAATAGTGGGAATGACCGTCACATAATAACGCCCCCACGGCTGAAAGGGCGAGCATGTTTGGTGGGATGGGGATGCGAACCCGCAGATTGCGAGTCGAGCGTCCTAACCACCTGGCCATGCCGGGCCCTACAAAAAGAGAACAGAGATGATTATGTAAAGGGTCGTATACAATTTTCCCAAGTGTACAAAACGTACTCTGTGGTCATTTTGTATTAATAAATAAGGTACAAATGTATTGCCCATCAACAACCGAGGCGACTTTTGTCAACTTCAACACTTCTTTTCTGTTCCCCAGTACTATATTTATAATGCTAAGAAATTGAGAGTGAACACAAAGAAGAATATGTAATAATATTTCAACTACCACATATCTGCCTTATCAACAATATAATGGCTAATTTCTGATAATATATTTTCAACTACGATATACGATTATATTGTTGATAAGACAGATATATCGTAGTTGAAAATATATTATCAGAAATTAGCCATTATATTGTTGATAAGGCAGATTAATTTCTGATAATATATTTTCAACTACGATATATATATCTGCCTTATCAACAATATAATCGCTAATTTCTGATAAAATATTTTTTAAAACTTCGCCATTTTATGTGTACGTTTTATACGGTCCAATAAGTGTGAACGACTCCTAAAATGTATGCTTTTAGAAGTTGTATATTAAGTGAGATCACTTATTTCTGCGTTAAACATTTAACTTTTGGGTGAAAAACTTGTTTTCCAACGTTACAGAGACAACGAGCTTGATAAATGAAATACTTAAGATTCCAGTTCAAAGTTATTTAACTTTTTTTTTTATAATATGCTATGAATCATCAAGATTTTTCAAGAAATAAGATTAGCAGCATGTATACTTGAACAAGCTGCATTTGGGTGATACAAATTATAAAAACATTTTTCTTTGCTCTGTAATATACATAATTAATGTTAACTTTCGCTAATGTACTACAACTGATTACGGGAGTAGTGTTACGGTATGTGAAATATAACAGGTGTTTGTCTTACTCTTGGTATTGAAAGATGTTTACCAAAAATTTTTGCATGTCTAATCGTTTGGCGCACGTTTTGAATGTATAGCATGCAAATAGGCGGCTTTGGAATGTGGCGACCTTCTTCTTGTGCTAGTTACACATTGTCAAAGATCTTTCCCTTTTCGGTATTGTTGTACTTTCTCATGAAATGTAACGCTGGAAAATTACTTCTCTAATAAATTCGGGCGTGTAAAACAAAATTAAGGCAATGTCTTCTCCACTTTTACTAGTACAATGAACAAGTGACGTGGTGATAAAAGCACTCTGGGAGATTTGACCTCACTTACGTATATAACCATAGATTATCTTAAGTCTAGAGAAGTTATGTCTAATTTTTCTTGATATAGATCTCTTCACACTTAAAGAGGAGCACGTTCGTCTTTGTGCTCGCGTTACTTGATTCAATTGAATTGTCTGTTTTGATGTGTTCAATAAATAAACGTTTTGTTTTACTACTATTAAACTTGTGTCTAGTTTCTTTTTCTTCAATTCAGTCAGGCTAGAATTCACTAACTCCAGGACCAGGCGTGGTATGGTGGTTAGCATGCTGAATTGGGGTTCCAAGAGTCCATGATTCGCGTCATCTTGCCACAAGAAAAAACCACACTTAACACTTCGTGGTCGTTGATGTGTTATAAGAGAGATTGTCAAATCCCACTATTTGATCTTAGTAGCCCACGAGTTAGAAGTGGATGCTCATAATTATCTGCCTTCCCTCTAGTCTATTAGTTAAAAATTAAATTTGGTTGTTGTTAACGCAAAGCTACACAATGGACTATCTGTGTTCTACTCAATACGGGTATCGAAACCTGATTTTTAGTGTCGTAAGCCTGTAGACTTATAGCTGAGCCATTAGGGGCTAAAAATGCTGGAAGGGCTAGTATTAACTCTATAATATATTTTTACATCGTTAGAGAAGATAGAAAATCTCTACACCTAAGATTGCCACAGTTTTGTTTGTTTGAGTTGAATTTCGTGCAAAGCTACAGGAGGGCTATCTGCGCTAGCCATCCCTAATTTAGCAGTGTAAGACTAGAGGGAAGGCAGCTAGTCATCACCACCCACTGTCAACTCTTGGGATACTCTTTTACCAACGTATAGTGGAGTTGCCCGTCACATTATAACGCCCCCACGGCTGAAATGGCGAGCATGTTTGGTATGACGGGGATTCGAACCCGCAGATTGCGAGTCGATCGCCCTAACAACCTGGCCATGCCGGGCCAATTGCCACAGTACCAACAATATTTTAATTTTGTTCTAGGGCATTACTTATACAAAAATAAGAAGTGTGTATACGAGTTTTAGAGATATTTGATTAGATTTTAAAACAGAGATGAAAACCTGAAACTTTATGTATATGGCTTACCTACTGCATGCCGCTAGGGAAAATAAAATAAAACTTGTTTCAAATTATATTTAGTTTTATATACTAGTGATAAGTGTTTACTGGTTGATAAGGTGGTAAGTACACACTTAATATTAGTTTCGCAATATTTATTTTAACGCCAGTTTGTTACCGTAAAGGGAAAGTTTCGTCTTTCTAAACTTCATAATAAATTATACATTATTTGTCTGGCTCTTTGCGAATTAAACCAATTTTCACGAGTTTGAAAAAGAATGAGACTGAACACAGTCAAAGCAATCTGTGTATTTGTGGACAGTACCTTTACTAAAATGAGCTTTCTTTATGTAGTAGATCTTTTTGAAGGTGTTGAAGTTGTTCTCTCTTATGCTGTTGTTAATTATGTCCCAAGCTGAAAAACCATAGCATGAAACAACAAGGCTATATTCTCCCAGGCCGCATGCGCTACCCACATAACTGTTTGCCATTTCCATTGAAGCATAAGGGAAGTTATATCCTCGAGACATTACTTGACCAGTCAATGGAAAGGGTCACTGTTTATTTTAACAAATAATATGTAAAACTTTGCACAAACCTTTCCCACGGGAAGATAAAAGTGATACCTTAAGTGAGCGACAGAACAATGTGTAGCCAGAGAACACTATATATTTTCATGCACTATTTTCCAATGTTAAAACAAAACTTGTCGCAATGTATACTTAGCTGTAGGAGAACTGGCAAATACTTTCTCGTGTAGTAGTATTTTTAGCTGCGGCTCATAGAACGACTCCGAGTTTTTGTTTTCTTCAAGTACAATCTTTTAGCTCATAGCTCCGTCATCCCTTGATCGATTTGAGATCTAATTACAGTTTTGGACTCTGAAGGTCAAATCCTTTCGATTGATGTATTTGACCAAAGCCATGGTTTCATACATTAATTTACTCTAATCCTGCCTAAAATAATTTCAATTTGAGGGTAGGTTAGTAGAGATCCTGATGAGTAATAAAATCGAATCGGGTATACACGCGCCCACGTTTGGTATTACTAGCGCACAAAAATATAGTTAATACAAAAAGAAAAAAGGTCTCACAAATTAATTAATTAATCCTGCCTAAAATAATTTCAAGTGCCGCGGCTATTGAGAATTCCTTCTTGTTTGCATTAGAAGTGCCTCACTGAAAAAGTAACATGGCTTCAAGTCACCTGGTTTCTGTGTCAAAGAACGTGATCAAAATCTTAAAATAACAGTTGGTTTTCAAATTGACTCACATTAACTAAATTTTAAACTAACTTACAAATTCACATTCTAAGAATGTTAGTAAAGCATTTATTTATATTTAAAATTCTTAATCGAACCCCCTCCTCCTCTGTTTCGCCCACTAGTTGTACTTACCTAATGTAACAATCTCCCACAGCAAAATTCCAAATGACCAAACATCAGACTTGGCTGTGAACACGTTTAGATACAAAGACTCTGGTGCCATCCAACGAACAGGAAGGGCTCCCTGTGAAAAATAAAATACCGTTTAATATATTTATTTATATTAGCTTGATTTCAAGACACATCCAGGCCATTCTTTCTGTTTTTCTACGAGTAACTTCAACACGAGAAGATCGTGAATACCTTTTTAAAAAAAATCATTATAGATTTGTTTACTCTTTGCGCTGAACTCCGACACATTATTAACCTCAGAACCTATCGGCTCGTCGACTTTTTAACACGTCTCTCAGGACCTAAGGGGTGTCTTTACACTACAATTTGAATATTAGAAGTAAGTTCAATCCGGAAACTCCCAAAGAGGGTGGTTTTGGACGTATCTTTTCGAGACAAGTTTTCGTTTGTTAATTGATAAATATTTAAGTGAAATACAGCATCCTCAAGTCTCCATATTAGCTACAAAGATCTACCAACTGGAGAAAATTCAGTATATATTAATAAAGCCACATTCTCGATATCATTAATTAAGCAATTGCCAATCTTTTATGCTTCTGCTATCACCTTTTTATGTTTAGCTTTCAATTGAAATACGAACGATTTCACCTGCGATTAGATAGGGAAGGTCGAAACATCACGATGGGCAGACAGAAATACTTTGAAAGCAGCTACAGGCATAATATTGTACTCGGCTTGCTGCAAAATATCTACCAAGGTGGTTCTAAACGGTTTCTCAATACCGTTTAGTGTCATTTGGAGACTTCCATGCTTCTTGTGCTTGGCCGTTAAGCTCATGATGCGCTGAAGGATTTCAGTCACTTTACTACTTCAAATCACTTTTCACAGCCCCAACGCTAAAAGAGTGTGGGAAATGCCTACTTTTTAGCCAATAAAACTGTCCAAAAAATTTCAGTTCAAAGTTTAAAAAAACAGTTTAGGTAGTTTTTGTTTTCAACAAAAATGTCCCCACTAGCTCGTGAGGGGCCTATTAAATACATTTTTCTGCTTGTGAGTTCATTACATCCAGCATTAGTATTTCAATAAATTGTATTTTTTTTTGTTCTTTACAACGGGTATTGCAACAGGCAAAAACATAACGTTACACAATATGGTGTAATATGTAGACCCACTTGTAGTGAAAGGTGTAAACATAACGTCACCCAGTATGATGTAATATGTAGACCCACTTGTCGTGAAAGGTGTAAATATAACGTTACCCAGTATGATGTAACATGTAGACCCACTTGTAGTGAAAGGTGTAAACATAACGTTACCCAGTATGATGTAACATGTAGACTCACTTGTAGTGAAAGGTGTAAAATCATATAGACGGTCAAATACTCGTAAAAAAATACTAGTTTTGCAAAACTAAGATAGTGGTTGATGAAAATTGGTGCTTTTGAAAAATGTATGTGAAGCAATGGATGAAGCACTGAAAAGTCTTAAATAATTTTTATGACTTTTTAAATATTTTATTCCATAGTTTTAAACATATTCTTTTTTTTAAGTGCTAAATTTGAAATTATTTACTTAGGTTCTTTATAATCGAGTAATTTAGTGTTTTTGTAATTAACGTTAAGTTTTTGTCTTTGACCAAGTTCACATGGAGCTATCTGCTGCGTCCACCACTAGGAATCGAACCCCGGATGTTGGCGTTGAAAATCCTTAAATTTACAGGGTACACTATAAAATGATTGGAACTTTTGCAAAACTATATAATAAAGTGATAAAAAGAGGATTACTTTTAAAAACCTAATAAAGTTGCTATGTTTTTAACACAATATTCGAAGGATGTTGACTGTTGTTGTTTTCGCAGTGCTAAGCTACACAAAAGGCTATATCCCGGATTTTCGCGTTGTAAGTCCATAAACGTACCGTTGATTCACCGGGGGGGGGGGATGAAGTAGACTAATATCTGTAAGAATTTGCCTCCCCCCCTCCACCCGAAAACCAAATCTGAATTGCATTGCTGACACACACACACACACACACAGGTATATATGAAAACTATATAGAATGAATGAATATATTAATTCCTTCTATTTCAGACACTTTGACCTACATTAACGAGTAACAGGTTTTTTAACTATAATAAGCAGCCTGCGTCGCTGCCTAACCTAACTGGACCAGTCTCCAGCTAATTAAGTTTTAAAACCAGTTTGGATATTTCGCTAAAGAAAAACGAGAACATGATAACCGACCATGTTTCATTTGTATGCGTAAAAAAGAAAAAAAATATTGCATGCTTTGATACCAATTTCACTGACTTATTGTATGAATTTCAACAAATTTAGGTGGTAGTCAACTCTTTGTTTCTCATGTGTGGCTTGCAAGTTGATTAGTTAATGCGTCACGGATTTGTAAATTTGTGTTGCTTTACATCCAGCCTTAATTTTGTTTTTTAATTCCATTTTTGTAACGAATATCTGGCGGGGGAAAAAGAGTGGGCAAGGTCAAGAATTTTATATATATTATTGTATGATATGCCACGTCTACGTTATAGCGTTATGATAAGTTAGTACAATGTAATACAATGTTAATGTTGCGCTGAATAGTTGTATTAAAAGTGAACGAGAAAGGGAATGATTCTTCTCTTTATACAAACATCTTGACTATTGAAATTTGACATGAATTATACATGATATATTCATAACAGATCCATTAAACAGTTTATATATGCATACCTTATCGGTTTAAGTTATTATGGTTTTATACATGTGCTGTTATGACCATTATAGCATCCAGTGTTCCGAGATAGTAGAATAAGCTTTCATACTATCCTGGTCCAAGCTTTGTAGGGAGAATCTTACACGGCAAACCGAGGAACAAGTTTAAAATCATTCATAAAATAAATCTCCTTATTTATATTTTTAAGCACATACAGAGAAAACTGTTCAGAGTACCTTCAAACTCTTGTATACTCAAATACTCTTGTATTTAACCTCATGTTCAATACTCATGTCTCCCGATAAGAGCAGTAAATCTACAAACTCACAACGCTAAAAATCCTGGGTTCAAGTCCCCGCGGTGGACAAAGCAGATAGCTCTATGTGGCTTTGCTCTAAGACAACTAAACCAATCATTACTCGTAGAAATAATGAGTATAATATTGTTGTAGAGCAATATGTTCTTGCTCTAACATTTAAACTTACCTTTGTTTTCTGCTCATACATTTCACAGTCCTTATCTCGAATGCTTCTGGAGAGACCAAAGTCAGCCACCTTACACACCTTGTTATGATCCACTAGGACGTTCCGGGCAGCCAGATCTCTGTGGATCACCTGCGTATTCAGGTATAAATGAACAGTCGTTTTTATTGTCATTACTTTATATACTTAATGACTAGAATTAGAATTTTCAATATGAATGGCACTGTGGACCTGATGGCCAGGTCAGAGGGCCCATAGAGTCCACTTATAGTCTTCCCTAATTATGAAGTACTGCCACGAAGGTTGGCAGCCACACGCCAATTGTTACATCATTCAGGTGCGGTATTAAGTGAGGCTTGAACTTTGGACGTGGCAGTGTGTGTGTTACTTGATGCACTCCAAATAGCAATGTTTTCTGCATATTGGGATGTTAGTGTATACGTTAAAGGGTGGAAGTGTACGGTAGGTCATTCACAAATATATTGTAGAGCGTAGGACTTAGTACGGACCCTTGCGGGACCCGACCCCGGCAACTGGTGTGAATAGGTGAAATATTGCTTCATTAATTTTAACTTTGGCAGTACGATGGGTGAGAAAACTTGATACCCATCGTACAAAAAGGGTCGGAATACCAAGGTTGTGTAGTTTATATCTTAAGGGCTTTGTACGGCTCTTTATATCGAATAACGAGTATGACTGTCACTTTTATACCTCACTCAGAACTGAAAGTGCTGGGCATGTTTAGCGGCATCGCGTCTTGAACGTCATGTTAACCACGACATGACTAGAAATATCTATATCCACATAATCGTTTTCTACGATCGCATTATTCACTAATTTTCTTTAACTTACGCAAGATCACCTTGATTCAGCCTCTTTCTTACCAAATTGTTTCGTAATTTTCAAAGTTTCAATACACGTGTTCTATATAATTTTAAAATATTCATTACTCTTCTGTATAAATACATAACTCTTTACATATCTAGCTGTTAGTTGAACAAAATACGTGATGTGAAACCGAGGTGATCAGTGAAGCAAATCGTCACGAGTAGCTACTGATTTTTGCTTATACCACAAACGAACAGCCACTTAGATTCAATATTTAAAAGTTCATTACTAGAGACTTCGTTTTGAAACAATAAATTAACAAATTGTTAGCCTGTCACTAACACTGTCATCTTTCCAATTCTAAAAGATTAAAAAGAACTCGTTCAAACTTGTTTTTGTAGATAAAACTGATACAGTTTAATTATTTATGTAAATTGTGTTTATAAATAAATTATTGTACTTTTACATTATATAAAGTTTTGTTTAGGTTATCTGTCTTCCCAGCTAGACCCAGTTTCTTCACCTTGTGAGTTTGCGAGTTATAATACGAGACATTCTAGTTCACACAGGGAAATAAAGCACATGCACGGAGTATAACTAAAATAACTAGTTTGAAATTTTTTTAAACTCCCACTAGATGAACTAGGTCGACGAAAGAGTATAATCGTATACGTTTTACAAGAGGAAGAAAAATCTAAAATGCTCGATTTAGTCGAATAATATTAAACACTCTTTTTTAATGAAAAAACATAGGTGGACATATAAATACAAATGTCCTAAAATGGACTTCTACATCTTCAGGCATAAAGTTTTTTTGTTTTTTTTTTTGCCACATCGACCTGTAGGGAGTTTTGTGCGTGGTTGATAATGCTACACAGTGCAGTCTTATGCTGGCTATGGTCTGGGTTTAATCTAATGTGGATTTATATTACAGCCTTCATTTTCACCTTAGATATATTTCTTGACTTATTGATTTATCATCCACTGCTACATAGTGCAGTCTTATGCTGGCTGTGGTATGGGTTTAATCTAATGTGGATTCATATTACAATCTTCATTTTCACTTTAGATACATTTGTTGACTTATTGTTTTATCATCGATTGCTACACAGTGCAGTCTTATGCTGATTATGGTCTGGGTTTAATCTAATGTGGATTTATATTACAGTCTTCATTTTCACCTTAGATATATTTGTTGATTTATTGTTTTATTATCTCCTCATCTGTTTGACATAAATACACATGGTTTCATAAAATAAAAAGAGTTGTTAAGTTGTTTGATGAAAAATTATGAAAATAGAATACAGAATCATACCCCTTTAGTGCTAACGTACTCCATTCCACGTGCTACATAGTAGGCAAACATGGTCAAGTCCCTGGAGGTAAGAGCTTGAGATGTAGGGGAACAGTTATAATAATCCCTTCTGGACCGATGGTCACGAAGAAAAGACAGCAGTTTTCCTCTCACAACGTATTCCATAATAACATAGTAAGGCTCTAGAAAAAGGAAGGCCATGTCACTGATACAGTATGTTTTAAGTTGCATTCAGATAGCCTTAAGGCTCATTGCATCGAGCATTATCACATTTTCGTAATCTGTAATATGTATCCTTCATGAGTTACTTCTCTTAAATATATATTACCGATTATTTTAGGCATTAGCTATATGGACTTTATCGGTTTTACTTACAACTGCACGAAAATCTGTTTACTGGACCAAGATGACTTTTACTTAGCAGCGCAGAAGAGTTGTACCAGTTGAAAATAAGGTTGTGGTCTCAGCACGTTATATAGTTAGTTTCATTTTACTTAGCAGCGCAGAAGGGTTGTACCAGTTGAAAATAAGGTTATGGTCTCAGCACGTTATATAGTTAGTTTCATTTATTTGAGAAACACTAAATGGTTGGTGGTTTCTTATGGATTGCAGCTGCTTAGACTAAAGACTTGCCGTAGTTTTTTTTTGGGGGGGGGGGCTATTAACACTTTATTTGAGTTTTCCTATTTCAAGTATTAGATCGTATTTCAGTTTTATAGGTTGAACAAGAATAATTAAAGGATGAGAAAAATATTGCACATGAACGCAATGGAATTATTGAATATGGATTATCGTAAAACTTTCGTTTTCGATTATTTTATATAAATGTTTAACTCTGATTAATAAATCTGACTCAATGAACAACGAACTCGTGTTAAGTAAGATGTGTTCCAGAAACTAATGTCTGAGCCTCTGTGATGTGTAACCAAAGCCAGAGAACTAACTTTGCCCTTCACCACTTACTTTATTTATGCCTAAAATTCCAATGTTTTCGTTATACTAGTTTGGGGGGGGCTCCTAAATGTGGGTCCTCGCAGTTACGTATGAATAATTAAGGTCAGGCCTTTCTCAGAGGTTGTCTTGGAAGACGTTTCAATCTTCATACTTAGATCTTCGTAGTAGTAAATGGTAAAAAAAACTTAAAGTCAGTAAATGTGTTCATATTAGTTTTCAGAATTTGTTTCAAGTGATAGTCTGAAGTATTCCACATGTCTCTTTAACATTATACCCCAGCACAGCTGTTCTCTTATGTAAGTAGCCAATTCTCACAAGGCATCATCTGATACATACATAATAATGTGAACTTAACTGAAAACGTCAGTAAAGTGTTAGAGACATTTTGGCTTTAGATAACGATCACAAGATTGTAAGGCTCCTTTAGATCTCGTTCTCACTTTACTGTCATTTAGTTTGCAAAATGAATGTTTGTTTGTAATTAAGCACAAAACAACACAATGGATTATCTTTGCTCTGTCCATTTTAAAAGTTATAGTTCTATTATTCCCACTTCCTCATTTTAAAAGTTATGGTACTATTAATTCTACTTCTTCATTTTAAAAGTTATGGTACAATTATTTCCACTTCCACATTTTGAAGTAATGTGGCGAAAAGTTAACGAATAAAACTGCATCTAAACTCTGATTTGTTTAAATTAATGGTATTAAATTATTTGTGAAACGTACAAAAATGTTTAAAAAGTTGTAGGAAAGAAAGAAAAGTCTGTCAAAGTCTCTGTCAAACAACGCTCTGAAGAAGATCGTATGATCAAAATCTTTGAAAAAAAATATTTTCTCTCCTACAACTGCTTAAACCATTTCCACAATTATACGATCTTGCACATTTTAACATCACAGTTTGTAATTTTTAAGTAACGTTGGCCACATTATATATAAAAGGTATTACAACAATTATTAATTTTCAACAGTTTTTTTTATGATTATCATTACAAATTACTCGCACAACTATATATATATATTATGGCTGTATAATTTGAAGTGTTTTCTTACTTGTGGACATTGTTCGTTTGTTTAGAAATTCGCGCAAAGCTACACGAGGGCTATCTGCGCTAGCCGTCCCTAATTTAGCAG